ACTGTGAGAGTTATTTGTCAACACGGTGGTAGACGAGGGGAAAATACCCAGAGTTGAGCTTGTGCTGTCTTTTCAGGATCTGGATCTGTTTTTGACCCGTTCCTGTGTAGTTTTGTGTTTCGATCGTTTTAGTTGAAGCATTTGTGAAAGGTTTTAATCAGGGATGAGAAAAAAACAGAATACTTTAGTTTTTAGACACTTTTGTTTTTGTTCTTGCAGTGCTTTTTACAAATGAATTCCATTGAAAGTAATAAATCTCCAGTGGGATCGCCACACCCTGAAATAATTATTTTATTGCTGCTCTTTTTTTTGTCTCAATCGTTTTAGTTTGTGTTCTGGTGCACGCCACTGATTGCCTCCATAACTTGGCGTGTAACACCCTGTTTCATAATCCTCAGCCTCTTTCTTTTTTTGTTACTGGGTGTTGCGTTCAAGTTTGGCTTCAGTGCTGTGATTTATTTTTTATTTTTTTTGTGTGCTTTGAACTTGTTTTTTTTCCCAGCGTGCTCCTGGGTGGATCTCGCTTCTGCTTCAAAAAGTCCTGCTGTGAAAGAGTTTATTAATCCTACAACAGCATGACTCACGGCCTCTAACTTTCTGACCCACCCAGACCGCCCGAGTCGGCTCCATCCACCCGGCTCCACGTCCACGAGTCTTTTTTTTTTCTTTCTTGGTTCCGACTCTAGTTTTTGTTCTTCAAAGAGTGATCGGAGTGAGCTGGACTCAGGGTTTTTTTTAGAAAACAAAAGGCTACAGTTTGTTCTCATTAAATGCAGCTTCTGTTGAATGACTGGGAAGGTGCTGAGTCAGCATTCACACTATTGTTTTCCTCAGTTTTTTTTCTTTGTGTTTTTTGTTTTATCTACTGCTGCACACTTTCTGCTTCTTTAATGGTTCATAAATCAGAAGATTCAGCTCATTCAGGAGAATGAGGGCACTGTGACTTTTGTTTTTTGTAGGTTTTATACTTTTAAAGGGGGAGTATGGTGGAAAATTTACTTTTTGAGCCTTATGATGTTATATCATTTCCTCATCAAAAACATACCCAGAGTGTTGTTTTGACTCTTTCATGCGTGTTTGAGAAATCCTTGAATCTCCTGTGGTAACCATGTGGAGTGCTATCATTTAGCGCTCAAACACTTGCTGGTACAAAGCACCGCCTCTTATACCTAGCTCCTCCCTGGAGCTCAATCTGCAGTCGAAAATCTATTCAAATCATTCGACTAATGCTAATTATACGGATGCTAAATCTAATACTCATTCTACTTATGATGATGCTAAGTCTACTACTGTTAATGCTAATACTACTATAAATAATGCACATTTTACTAATATGTCTACTGCTAATGCTAGTTTTATTAATGTTAATACAAGTTCTACACTGTTAATGCTAGTACTGCTGATGCTAAAACTACTATTGCTAATGCCAGTTTTATTAATGCTAATTTTATTTCTAAAGCTAGTTGTACTAATGCTAATACCAGTTTTACTACTGTTAATGCTAATGCTGCTAATGCTAATACTACCCTTGCAAACACTAGTTTTGCAAATGCTGATACTACTATTGGTGCTAGTTTTACTAATGCTACTACAGTTATTAATACTGCTAATGCTTTGTGGTGGAGTAGTTAGAGGAGCTGTCTTGTAACCAGTAGGTTGCTGGTTCGATTCCCCGTTCCAGCTGTTTCAGTCGTTATATCCTTGGACAAGACACTTTACCCACTCGCATACTGATGGTGGCCCAAGGGTCTGGCGGCACCTGTGCATGGCAGTCCTGCCTCTGTATGTGTGCCCCAGGGCAGCTGTGGCTACCATGTGTTTTACCACCATTGGTGTCTGAGTGTGTGTGTGAATGGGTGAATCAATTTGGGGTCCACATGGACTTGATAAAGTGCTCTATAAGTTCAAGTCATTTACCATATACCATTTTGCTAATTATGGTCTTGCTGCACCAATATGAAAAATTTAGCCGATATCGATATTCAATATAATTATTGCTGTTATGGCCGATAACCGATATTTACCGATATTACACAAACACACAAATTATATTATACATATACGCACAAAGACACTTGGGTCTTTTTTGATACAGTAAATAAACAACCAGACCTCTGACATGGCTCTACTTCAGTTTTTCCTGATTAGCAGCGTCAATATCACTGTTATGATCAAACAGATGCTGCTCAACCAACCATCTCCCCTCCTAAAACAGAAACACAAAGATAAAAAGTGGGAAATCAATATCGGATGGTAATATCATCCCATTTTTAAATATCGGACCGATCGTGCATCCCTAGGTCTTGCTAGCACTATTACTTCTAATTCTAATTAAACTACCGCTAGTTATACTAATGATAAGGCTATTGCTGCTAATGCTCTTTCTATTAATAACTAAATGCAACTAAATGCTAGCATTCTCTAAATTTGGCTAACCAGCAGCTTTTAGATTCTATTTTATCTTTTGTTACTTTTGTATTTAGCTAGCTTTTTGCTACTTTAGCTTTTATATGGTGTTTACAATTTTTATTTTAGGTTTCATTACATTTAATTTGTGTTTTGTTACTATTAGGGTTGTAACTAGCGCTTTACTTTAGCTTCTAGCCAGCGTTTTAGTACAGTTTGCCGGCTTTATGTAGCATTTGCTTCATTTAGCTTTACGCTTAGTTTCAACTTTTTCAGAAAGCTTCGTCAGTCATTCAGAATTCACCATTCTTGCTCCAGTTTTCTAATTAAAAACGATCAACCTGCAGATTTTTATTTCCTCAAACATAAAAACAGGTTTTTAATTTTTTTAATCTGCTGGGTGTGGACGTGCACTTATTAGTTCAGCACAAAACCTTCAGTGATGCAGCAGTTGTTCGGCTGGCGACCGGAAAAGGCTGATTTTTCAGCTTGACTGGCTGTAACTAGTGACCAGCAGAACAGGCGCTGAGAAATCCAATTGTTTTTACAGGCAGTTTAACGCATCACAGTGACACAGCTGTTGAACAAAGGCATGTTGTTGTGGAAGTGTTTTAAAGCTGTTTACAGCTGACCTTTTTGTTACAGGAGGCAGACCTTTACTGACTAATATCTGACCCTGACCTTCTGGAACCGACAGCAGATAAAACCAGACAAACATGAATACATTTTGCTATCTGTAATGTACCGTTAGCCACACTTTATTTACATTTTCTCCCGCTGTAGTAGCTTACCATAACAGGAGGAAATTTCATCATGGAGATGACATCATTCCACATTAAACTGGATATTTGGGTCCAGCAGACATTAAGCTTGTTGCTGACCTTCAGCTAAAAGTCACTCTGTGTTTTAATGACTTTTGTGCTGAAATAAATCAGTTTAATATCTTATAATTTGATCAAATGGACACAAGTCATCTTTATATTGTGGTAATTTTAGATTTCTGCATATATTTTTACTAATGTTCTGAGTTTTAAAGATGTCAGATATAAATAATTGTTTGTTTTTAACGTGTTTTAGGTAGGGTTGAAAGATTTAGGAAAATCTAATTGCAATTTTTTATCTATAAATTGCTACTGCTATTTAATATGCAATTTTTTTAATGTTTTAAGTACTTTTCAACAAACACAAGCAATAAATCTGTTTTATAATAAACAAAGTACACTTTAAAGCATAGATTACAATAAAGCAAACAAGTGGCTTTACCTTTTTACCATTTGTATTTTTTCTTGTTTCATAAAACATGATATTAAGTATTTTAAGTGAACTTCCTAAACACTGTCTGAACTTCAAAGGACAGTGTCTAAATAAGTAGAAAAAAATATTTAAAAATAAAAAAACATAGATTACTGCTTTCCAGCCAGTAACATCATAAAAAATAAAGTGCGAAGAAACAAAAAACAAAGAGAGAATAAACATCTGCTTTAATCAGCTCGTTATTTTCTAGGAAAATCAAACTCAAGTTGCTAGATTACATCATCACCTAATATGTCAATAACTGTGATCTGAGCTTGGAGAGACGTTAAAGAGAAAAAACAGTGAAGAAAAACACTAAATATGTTTAGAACTGCAATAAAACTTAGTGAAATAAAAATAATTTTATGACTTAAATGCTTAAGGCCCTGCCACACTAGACAACTTATACTACCTTACGAAACATTTTTTATGTGTAAATTGCAAATAAAATTTATATAGTTGATCAATTTGTTAGAATTACAGAATGTACAGGTATAAAAGGAGCTTCCAGTTGATTTTTTTTCAATTCCATCTTCAACGTAGATGTCTTTAAAATTTTCACAAGTTGTCTAGTGTGACAGGGCCTTTAGATCCACATTACATAAATTAAATTAGTGATAATTTTAAATTTAATCTGCAGACTGTTCGATGTCACGAGGCACTGGGAGGACGAGGTGAAGCAGTGACTGATCTGTGAGTCAAACAGCTGAGTCCAGAGATTTATTTTAGAGACAGTAGAGAGAAAAACATTACAGTAAATATTACATCCTGCATTAGAAACTAGGCAGGAGCAGTGGCAACTTTGCACATGCAAGATTCATTTGCAGCGGTCCCTTCTCAGCTGACTGCAGCCGGAGTTGGGGGGGTGAATTCTTCTGCACGAGGCTGAGTCGGACCACTGTAGGAAGGGGGAGGAAAGGAGTAAGGTGCTTGGAAAGTGCTGGCCCCAAAGTTTCTAAAAGTCTTCAAAAACACCGGGAAAAGTCGCCAGATTTGTCGCTAGTCGCTTTTTGGAAAACTAAAGTCGTTAGAGGGGTCTAAAAAGCCGCTAGATCTAGCAACAATGTGGCTAAGTTAGCAACACTGCTCTGCTGCACTCACTCCCAACTCACGTGACCAGTCAAATTGCAGCCTGTGCCATTAGAAAATCTCATTTTAACGTATCGTGAGATTATCGCAAATGCTATTAATCGTTCAGCCCTAGCTTTAAGTGTTTTTATTAATGCGCTTTATTTGTTCTGAATGTTTTGTAAATCTTGTGCAGATTGTAACTTCGTCTTCTTCCCTCTCCCTCTTTACAGATCTGATGCTGGTTTGCAGCCGCCGCCATCATGTTCTCCAAAAAGAAGAAAAGTCGAATCCAGATCTCTGACCCGTCTAACTTTGAGCACCGCGTTCACACGGACTTCGACGCCCAGGAGCAGAAGTTCGTGGGGCTGCCGCGACAATGGCAGTCGCTCATTGAAGACACAGCCAAAAGGCCCAAACCCTTCATCGATGCCACCGTCATCACCACTGTAGAGCCCAGGAAGGTGGGGTGAGCCGAATCAGTACCGTGCACTAATGGTACGCGGGTTAGGAGCTGGTTAAGATCTGATGTTTGTTTTTATTTCCCCTCGGTGTCTGCAGACGATCGTTCGCGGCAGCAAGCTGGGCGCAGACAGCTCCTTAACGTGGCTGCTGGATGAGTTTGACACCATGTCTGTGACCCGGTCCAACTCACTGCGGCGAGGCAGCCCCGACCAGCCCCGGAGGGACTCCAGCTCGTCAGGCGGAGGCGGACAGGAGAACGGAGATCCTCACCACAGACACTACTCCCACCCAGATAGGTCAGAACCAGGGCCGCGGCGTGGGCCCAGCGTTTATCTGAGGTTTGGTTCTGACGCCGGTGTTCTGACCCTCAGGGACCGACCCAGGCAGGAGCACCAACCCGGAGCCGACCCCCGTCACGGTCATCGAGCAGTCCGTCCCTCGCCGAGGGATGAGGAAATCCAGGGCCGACCCCAGCAGCAACCTCGGGGCCAGGAGCCCAGCAAGGCCCAAAGAGAGAGGACTGGGTCAGGCCAGCCTCCCCCTCCCCCTCACAGAAACAGGGACCATCGAGACCGGGACCAGGTATTTCAGCTAATCTTTTGCTACTTCTCGCTGTTGCTGGACTTTGGATCATTTTAGCTTCTTGACTACTTTTTGCTGTTTCTAGCTTTTAGCTAACATTTACTGTTTAGGCTTGTAGCTAGACTTTTAATACATTTTGCAATTAGCTACTGTTTTGCTATTTTAGCTTCTAGCTTTCCCTTTGCTAGTTTTGGCTATTGTTTTGCTATTTCTAGTTGTTAACTAGACCGTGGCTACTTTTGGCTTCTAGTTATGTTTTGCTACTTCTAACTTCTAGCAAACCTTTGCTGTTTTCGCTTGTAGCTAACCTTTTTAAACTTTATGCTTTTAGCTACTGTATTGCTGTTTTAGTTTTTTGCTAAAAATTAGTTTTTTCTATTGTTTTGTTACTTCTAGTTGTTAGCTGGACTTTGGCTACTTTTAGGCTGTGTCCAAAACGACAGGCCGGGTCCTTGGTAGACCGGGAAGACCGGAAAAAAAGAGGCTGTGGATTTGGACGGTCTAGCCTCCCCTCCTTACCCCGGCGTACGTCTTGTCACCTAGCAACTGTGACGACGCTAAACAAGCAAACTTAAATCAAAACTAGAAAATTATCAATACATTAGCATTATTAATATCACAAAACTATAAAATTAACTTAAAAGTATCATTTGAAGAACTAATTGACCCGCTGTAGGTTCATGTTTATTTCGCGTTTTTTATGACGAAAATATAATATTTAAAAACATGTCCATACAAATGATAAAAGTATTAGAATTACAACCGCTAATTTTTTTATTTTTAAATCACCATATTTTTATTTAAAATGTATTCTTTTCTCTCGCTTCGTCCGCCATTACTAGCTTAAAAAATCTCCGGTCGGGCCGCAATGCATTATGGGATATGCTGGGCCGGGAAGGATCCATCGGACCTGTCCTTCGATTCGGGGAAAAAGAAGGACGTATTTGTCGGCCGCATCGGAGGAGTCTTCCGTTTTGGACGTCCTTCGTCGCGGCACTGTGACGTATGCGGCCGACAAATTCGACCTTTGGAGGACCCGTCCTGCCGTTTTGGACACAGCCTTAGCTTCTAGTTACATTTTGCTACTTCTAGCTTCTAGCTAACAGTTGCTGTTTAGACTTTCAGCTAGCCTTTTAATAATTTTAGCTTTTAGCTATTGTTTTGCTTCTTGCTTCTAGTTATGTTTTGCTACTACTAGCTTCTAGCTAACCATTGCTGTTTAAACTTACAGCTAGGCTTTTAAGTTTTTAGGCTTTTACATACAGTTTTGCTACTTTAGTTTCCAGCTAGCTTTTTGCTAGTTTTGGCTATTGTTTTGTTACTTGTTAGCTGGAGTTTGGCTGGAGTTTGGCCACTTTTGGCTTCTAGTTAACCATTGCTGTTTAGGCTTTTAACTATCGTTTTAATACTTTTAGCTACTATTTGCTACGTTAGCTTCTAGCTTGCCCTTTGCTAGTTTTGTCTATTGTTTTGCTACTTGTGGAGTTGTTAGCTGGACTTTGACATCTTTCAGGTCTTTTTTTTTGTTAAGCTTCAAGCTACCCTTTTAATACTTTTAGCTGTTGTTTGACTGCATTTATTTACCTATGCAGTCTTTTAATGAATGTTTTGATTCTTTTAGGATTTAGACTTTTCCCGTCTTTCCCTGGGTTTAGCTTTTAGCTAGTGTTTACTATTATTTCATCATTTCTTCAGGAGCCGGCGGTCCGCAGAGATCAGCCCGAGGACCTCAGGCCAAAGTCCAGCTACGTCCCTCGGGAGGGCAGCCCTCAGTCTCCCAGGGACAAGAGGCCCCTCTCAGGACCCAACATCCGAACCCCAAACCTGCCGATAACTGAAGGGGTGATGAAGACGGCGCAGCAGAACACCCGGCCGTTCAACACGTACCCGAGGACAGACAGCGACGGAGGACGCAGCCCCACAGGACAGGTGAGGACTCACCTGTTTCAGGGACATTCTGAAAACGATGGATTATTTTTAAATAAATGTAAACGTGAAGATCATGACTTCAGATAATTTAGTCCTCTAAATATGTTTAGGTTTGTCCAGGCCTTCCTGGTTTATGTCTTCAGTCTGTCTCCTCCAGGTGGTCCGACACCATGAATCCTCCCCTCAGAACGGACCCTCCAGCGGTTCTACCCGCGGCTCCTCCAGCTCCAAGCACCCAGCCCACCAGCAGCCCCATCACAGCTCCCACCCCAGCCTGACCCCCGAGACCGCCCAGTACCCGCACACCCCTCACCCCAGCGTTCCCGCCCCGCGGCCCCCGGCCCCCGCCGCACCCGCGGGATCATCAGGGGCCCCTCCTCAGGGTCACTCCCCGCAGAGGGAGCCTCAGAGGGTCTCCCACGAGCAGTTCAGAGCGGCGCTGCAGATGGTGGTGGATCCCGGCGACCCGCGGACCTACCTGGACCACTACATAAAGATAGGCGAGGGGTCCACGGGGATCGTCTGCATCGCCACGGTGAAGACCACCGGGAAGCTGGTGGCTGTGAAGAAGATGGACCTGAGAAAACAGCAGCGCAGAGAGCTTCTCTTCAACGAGGTGAGGAACGATGAAAGAGACGCAGAATCTGCAATAATTGAAGTTTGTGATTTTATCATTAAATCCCTGTTAGCAAAATATCTCACAAACCGCTGGATGCTCTTTAATCAGACGGTTAAAATTTAATCTTAGCTGCACGTTTGATTAACTTTAAGAGTTAACATGGTTCAAGATGGCCGCTACAGTTTGGGTTTAACAAATAAAATAAAATACTGTTACAGTTGCTGAGCTAAATTTTGGTGTGGTAGAAGCTGAGAGTCGTCCTCAACATATTTTGAGCACTAATATGTGTAAGATGCTTTTTTTAAAAGTTTATTTTATTTTCAGCTGTTATTTGTAGGTGTTAATTTTACGGAAGACTATTAGAGCCACTATGAGTTGCTTTTTTTTTTCCCTACAAAATTTATGAGATTAAAACCAAGTTCTGGAAAGAAACGTTTTTATTTATTTATTTTTTACTCCGGCCTTAACCCTCTTCCATACACCTCTTATTTTAAACTTTTAGCCAGCCTTTTGATAGCTTTTAGCTAACGTTAGTAACCATTCTTTCTACTTCTAGCTAACCTTTTGTTGCATTTAGCTGGTATTTTGTTACTTGTAGCTTTTAGACATTTTCCAATTTTAGCTTGTGTCCTGCTTCTTCTAGCTACTATTTTTATTACCCTAGCTTTTAGTTAGGCGTTTGCTATTTTTAGCTGCCGTTTTGTCCATTTAGCTTTTAACTAGCTGCTTTTTTTTCCTCAGATTTTTGAGAATAAAATCAAACTTCCGGAAATCAAGACTTTTTTTACTCTGGCCTTAACCCTCTTTAAAGTGCCTGTGACATCAAATTTTTGTAATAAATATGAATGCTTCTTTGGAAAGATAACATTGGTAATGTAGCAAAACAAATTTCACGCCGTTAAGATGAACAGTTGAGATATTTGCATGTGAAGAAACAGGAAGTGATGTCAAAGGGGAATACCTGCATGTAAACAGAGTGAAGCTACAATAATTAGAGAAGAATCTGATGTTTCTTTAGATTATTTTGACTCACTATCAGAGTTGAAGAAGAGTTTAACTAAAATTGTTTCAATAAACAAAGACCAGAGTTTCTTTTCTTAAAGAGTTCCCTTTGATGTCACTTCCTGTTTCTTTTTGTTGAGCCAAATTCAAGAGAAAGTATGCCAGTTATGAGACAAAATGGGTAAAATTATGTGTACTATGCTAATTTTCTTAAATATAAATATGTTTTCTTTGATTTTTTGCATTTGAAGGATAAGCATGTCACAGGCCCTTTAATACACTTCAGTCCCTTTGTTAGCAAAATATATTCATGAGTGCACTGGATATTATCTGCAAAAAAATACTCATTTACTATACAGCACTTAAATATTAACTTGTTTAGGAAGTAGTAAAGTAAAAGCATCCAAAATATTTTAAATTTGTGTTTGCTTTAAAGCAAAAAGTTTAAAAATGTTCTGGTTTTCAAGTCCAACCAGGCATCCAGAGTTTAAAATGACTGCAGGTCAGAGGTAAACTGATACTGATCAGAAAGTCCAGTTCCTGGTCCAGATTTGAGCGTCTCCTCTGTGTTTGATGAGTCAAAGAAAACAAGAGTTTGTGGTTGAGAGGAGCTCAGCTGCTGATCGTCAGGTGTCCTGCAGCGGTGGAATAATCTCAGCGTCTGTCTTCTCCTGGCGGCTGCAGGTGGTGATCATGCGGGACTATCACCATGAGAACGTGGTGGAGATGTACAACAGTTACCTGGTGGGAGACGAACTCTGGGTCGTCATGGAGTTCCTGGAGGGCGGAGCTCTCACTGACATCGTGACGCACACCAGGTGACAAAATAAAAGTCCAGGATGAAGCATGCAGGGGGGCTTTTATTCTGGTAGTCACAGTTATTAATTAGTTTTCAGTTCTACAGAAACGGCTGAAGTGGCATCACTAACCATTGGTCACATTTTTTAAATTAGAACACAGTTGATATGAGAAAAAAATTTGGATTAAAATATAAAATCAGACTTGAAGCGTTGCAACAGGATGAATAATTTACATCGTTCTGGTTGGAAAACTGGACTGGCAGCTTTTGTTTTCTGCACAGAAGCTTTAGTTGCCTTTTAACTTCTGTGGAAATAAAACGAGCATCATTCCTGATGACAAACATCATCTCACATGATGAGGCAGCCTGCCAAAGCAACTCTTAATCCTGGATAATTAACTGACAGGCATCAGAAATCCCTCGCTCAGCCACTAGAGGGCAGTCTAACACAACTCAGATTCTCATGGTTTATTTTCTGTTGATGTTTGTAACTCTTTACATTTATCCTGCCTTTTTAAAACTTCTCTCCTCCAGGATGAACGAGGAGCAGATCGCCACGGTGTGTCTGTCTGTCCTGAAGGCGCTGTCCGTCCTACACGCCAAGGGGGTGATCCACAGGGACATCAAGAGCGACTCCATCCTCCTCACGCACGACGGCCGGGTAAGCACTTCCTGTTAGGTTTCAAAATGACACGCTTGTGCCGGTGGTGGACACGGGGCAGCTTCCTGTCGAATCTTACTCTGAATTTCAGAGCTGACAAACATTTAATACAGCTGTGGTTTGTTGTGATGCTGGGAGACACTGTTTCAGCTCTCCCAAAATATGAACTCAGATGAACACTTGTTTGCCCCTGTATAGAAAAGATGAGTGTCCGCTTAGCGTCCCCCCCCCCCCAAAAAAAACTGTTCTTTTTGTAGCTTATCTTATATTTAGAACCGTAATGTGACTGAACTAACTGTGATTCAATAAATAGTCAAATATGAAGAATAAATAGTATTAAATGATTATATGAGCTCTCTAAATATCTTTTTGAAAGAAATTATTTTATTAGAGAAATCAGTCAGTCTAACATTATTATTATGCATTTTCTCCTTTTAGCTAGCATTGTGTTTGTTTAGCTTTCAGATAGCCTAATGCTACTTTTAGCAAGCCTTTTTTATACTTTAAGCTTGTAGTTGCTCTTAGATAGTGTTGCCTTCCTTTTAGCTTTTAGCTAGCCTTTTTCTTAAGTTTATCCTTTATGGGATTGTTTTTGTTACTTTTAGCTTTTAGCTTTTTGCTTGTTTTAGCTAGTGTCACACTTCTTTTAGCTGGTTTTTTATGCTTTTAGATAGACATTTGCTAACTTTCGCTAGTCTTATGTTCCTTTAGCTATTGTTCTGCTTGTTTTAAGGCTACCGACTGAAACTCATTCAGCTCTTTCACTTTATTTAGTTTCTGTTGAATTAAAAACATATTTGTTATATTTGCTCCTGTGTTAAATTGAGCTGTTTGTGGTTTTAGGTTTGTTGAAAACTGAAGAAAGTTTGGAGTTACTGAGAGTTGGAGAGTTGATGTTGGTTATTTTAATGTTTTATTTAATTGTAGGAAGAGTCCTGAACACAAGGAAAATAAAATCATTGAATTAAATCCTCCTCCATGCATAAACTGCTCCTTATGATGCAGTCTGTGTAGGTTGCACTGATCTTTATTTACGTTTTAAGAACTTGTTAAAATGTATTTGTTTGTGTCAGACTTGGCCATTGTTTTTTATTATTATTATTATTTTTTAGTTATAATAAATCGATGAGTCAACGAAACTCAAAATAGGGCGTTAGCGAGAACCGCTGAGCCAAGTTAGACCTCGAATCGCTTCCTGCAAGATGATGAGCGAGTTTCTGCTTTCTGCAGAAAATGAAACCAACACGGTTGCTTAGCAACACCAAGTAAAAACCAACCACAGCTTGTCGAGTGTTAACGGTTAACAGCTCATAACGCTGGAGCCGGACCGTCGGTGCAGAGGAGCGATGAGACAAAAAGACTCTGACTGTGTGCTGGCTGATGTTCGCAGGTGTTCGGAGGCGGAGCCTCAGCTTCATCAGACAGAACAAACTCTAAATGTTGGTGTTTTTATTTAACACATCGGTCACGCTCAATAAAAACAGTCAGCAGCCGACGATTCAGCTTGTAGCAACATTTAGCTTGTTTGATAAATCTTTATTTAAATTCTTTTTAATTCATAAAATATGACTTTTCTGCTAAAATGTGAAGTGAACGCTGAGCGTTGCAGGATCTGAAACTGAGCTGCCAAAGCTAAACGAAGCAGAAGGCTAAAGATAGAGCTAAAAGAAGCAGAAGGCTAAAGATAGAGCTAAAAGTAGCAAAACTCAAAGCTCAATGCCAAAGATAGCACAACTCTACCTAAAAGCTCAAAGAAATGGAACACTAGCTAAAAGAATCAAATGCTAGGTTAAAGCTTGAAGGAACAAAACACTAAATAAAAGCTAGAAGAGCAGAATATTAGCTGAAAATAGAAAAGCACCAACTAAAAACAGATAAGGGTAGTAAAAGATTAGGTTAAAGCTAAAAGTAGAGAAAGATTAGCTAAATGATGCTAAACACTATCTACAAAGCTAAAATAGGCAGGGCACTAGCTAAAAGTAGCACAAGGCTAACGTTGAATTTAAAAGGAGCAAAACACTAGCTAAATGCCAAAAGTAGCAAAGCACCAGCTTAAAGCAGGTAAAAGGAAAAGTAGCAAAAGGCTAAAAGGTACAAGTAAAGGTAAAAGTTGTTATAGGCTAGGGTTGGGCGAAATTGGCAAAAAAATTAATCACGATTAATTGAGGTGTTTAGCCAATAACGATTAATTTGATGATTAATCCCCTGGAGTCACTTGACACCCTTATGTCCTAGTCCAGAGGCTCTCAAACTGGGGTCCCAGGACCCCAAGGGGTCCGTGAGAGGTATCTTGTTGGTCCTCAAAAAAATTTCACTAAATTGTTAATTTGGTTTTTATTTTTAAAAATGCATGGAGAACAATGAACTAATAAAACAAACATAATATACTAAATAAAAATATAAATGTGAGCCATCACATTGAAACGAGAATTAAGCCCAAAAGTGGGATGTGGAGAAATACAGGTATATGGTTTTGATTTAACCGTTTGCAAGAATTGCATTATGTCAAAATATAATGAATTATCAATGAATCATTTGAATGAACTGTCTGAAATATAATCCTAAAAACATTTTTGAAGCATTTTTTTGAGCAGTAGCAACAAAAATCTGATTTTGAATTTTTCCCTGTGAGCTAACAATGATTTTGTTTCTCTCCAACTGGGAAATCTTAATGTACAAAAAATATTTGAGGTTTATTCTTTAAATTAAAATAAAAAAAATACTCAATAAATTTACAAAAAATTAGGATTCAGACCAAACATCATAACCATCAAGACAAATTAAGTCATATCTCTGGATAAGCTGATGATATCNAAATTAGGATTCAGACCAAACATCATAACCATCAAGACAAATTAAGTCATATCTCTGGATAAGCTGATGATATCAGGATGATCCAGGTGTCAAAATGTAGCTTTTAAACCAGGAATCTGAAAATGTAATTAGGTCATTTTGACCAAATTTGACTTAATCCTCATGTCAATATGATGGGTCACATATTCCCATGGAATTTAGGGGTTGAAATGACAAATTATCTTTTAAAACAGCATGGGTTTTACTAGGGGGTCCCAGGAATTTTTTTCGCCATTTTAAGGGGTCCCCAGACCCAAAAGGTTTGAGAACCCCTGTTCTAGTCACGTGACCAATTTAGTGCTAAAGATTTGCTCTTCATAAAATTCTGTCCCAAACTGTGTCAAAATTACAGACTTTGGGCTATACATAAAATTTTAAATTGTGTTGATAGATAAATAAATTACAGAACGTTTTTTTTTTTTTTTTAATTTGTCATATATGACGTGGAGAGGAGCACCGAGTGGACTCACTGGAGCAATCTCCAGTCGGTCGACCTGGTAGCATTAATCATATTAATTGTCATGTACCAAAAAATAATCGATTAATGTTTTTCTGACGATTAATTGCACACGATACGATTATGCCCAACCAGGCTAGCTAAAAGAGACAAAGGATCAGCTGAAAGTAAACATGAGCTAAAGTGCCAGGTAAGAGGTGAAGGATGCTAAAGGCGAGCTAAAGTAATGTAAATAATCTAATGTACACTTTCAGAAAGAATAAATGGTAATAAAATAAAAACAGTGTCTGTTCGTCCTTAAAGCACATTTTCACAGCTTCAAAGCTAACGTAGTTTAATTTCCACCTTCAGACATGGCCCACAGTCTGAGAGTTACACTACAGTCTAGTGACAAAGTGCAAGTCACAGGTTTGGTGCCGGGGCGAGCATGTAAACCTCCTGAAGAGTCGATTATTCTCTGTGGTCTGACGTCTTCATGAGCTGTGGTTTCAGCCTCACACTTGGACTCCGTCTGAATACAAACCGCAGCGACACTTAGTCTGCTCTGATGTCGTAAGAGGAGCCGACAGAAACCGTTTCATCTTCGGCTGAAGGTTTATAAACTAACAGCTGTCTGACTGTTTGGGTTCATTTAACAACCTGCTTCTGTAGATCCTCGGCTTTTACCAACTTCATCTTCATCGTCTTCATCTATATTCTGAGAAACCTGACTGAAGGTTTACCTGGATAAATGTTTGATCCAGAGCTGAATGTCTGAAATGTTTTGGCTCGTATGTTGGATGTACAGTTTTAAATTGAAGCTATGTATGTATGTATCCTTTAAGTACTGGGTGTTTGTACCATGTAAGTTGCAGGTATGTAACCTGTGAGTACTGGGGGGTATGTAACCTGTGAGTACTGGGGGTATGTACCCTGTGAGTACTGGGGGTATGTACCCTGTAAGTACTGGGGGTATGTACCCTGTAAGTTGCAGGTATGTAACCTGTGAGTACTGGGGGGTGTGTACCCTGTGAGTACTGGGGGGTATGTACCCTGTAAGTTGCAGGTATGTAACCTGTGAGTACTGGGGGGTATGTACCCTGTGAGTACTGGGGGTATGTACCCTGTAAGTTGCAGGTATGTAACC